ACCGCAAATCACCGCCGCCTCCTGCCTTTTTGAAAACGCCCATGCGGCTGGAGGAGGAGGAGGAGGAGGAGGAGCAGCAGCAGCAGCAAGAGCAAGAGGAGCATCCTTGGGGCCCTCTTGGGGCCTCCTGGAGGGTTCCTGAGACCCTCTTGGGGACTTCTGGGGGCTTCCCAGGGCCTGTTGCCTCTTGGAGGCCTCTGGGGTCCTAAGAGGGCTCGTGGCTGGTGGCCGTCTTGGAGGCCACTCTGGGCAGTCATGGGTCCACATCGGGCTCCTCAGGGCCGCGTTGGAGGTATGTGCCGCCGTCTTGGGGGCCTCTTGGGTCGTCCTAGGCCCTCTCGGACCGTCTCGCGGGCCTTTGGAGGGCCGCTTGGGGCGATCTTGTTGGCCTATGGGGCCGTCTTGGAGCGCCAGGAGCCCGAAAATGCGAGAATGCTGAAATCGCTGAACCCCCAAAAGAGAGTCAATATTTTGGGTTTCTTGGAGCAGTCTTGGAAGCCAGTTTGGTCGACTTGGAGGCCAGATTGGACGTCTTGGAGATTAGTTGTCTGGATGCCAGGGCGCCAGCGGGTCAAGACGAAGGTCACCAGGAATTTTGAAAATCTTCAGCACAGTAAACGCATTCAGCACGCGGTGCACCCTTGTGATAAACACAGGAGACGGCGGATCGAAGACGCCTGCGGCAGACCACCGCCGCCCCCTGACGCCAATGCGGCCAATCGTTGGGCCGAAGTCTGACCACGCTATGAGACTACAGTGGGGGTGCGTACCAAGAAATCGGATGTTGTTCGTCAGGGCATCTTGGGTTTCTTCGCTCCGCGCGGCCAGCGATGGTTTCCCACGGGCGTCAAGAAACTCTAGCGTTCAGGAGACTTTCCTTGGGTTTCCTCCCAATTCCACCTCGCGGAAGCAACGGCCCGCCACCGAAGAAACCTCGCTGCGCCGAAGGTACCTTGAATTTCTTGCGTCCGCGCGGACTCGGAGGGCCAACAGCCCTAAAGAGCTCCTTCACCGAAGAAACCCCGCTGCGCCGAAGGTATCGTGAATGTGTTGCATTCGCACGGGTTCGGAGAGCCACTGCCAGAATGCCCCGCCGCCGAAGAAACCCCGATGTGCCGAAGGGACTTCATTGTTTTGCATTTGCGTAGATTCGGAGGGCCAACAGCGAAATTACTACTCGCGCATTTTCCTGGCGCGACCCGCGAAGAAACTCCTCGGGCCAGGGTTCCCTGGGTTTCTCCGCTTCGAGCCCCTGGCCAAGAAACCCAGACCCTGGGCAAGAAGCTTTGTGGATTTTCAGGGTTGGGTTTCTTGCGACGGTTTCTTGCGGCCGTGCGCCCACTGTACGTGTTCCAACAGCTGTTGTGGACCGCCGTGGGAGAACCACTGAGGAGGATGAGAAGGAGGAGAAGGAGGTCGAGGAGGAGGAGGAGGAGGAGGAGGGAAAGGAGCCCTCGTGAGGCCGTATTGTGGCTTCCAAAGGGTTTCTTAGGACCTTCTGGGGGCCTCTGACGGGGCTTGGGGGCTTCTTGGGGTCTCTGAATGGGCCTCTTAGGGGACTTCTGGGGACCTCTAGGGGACCTCTTGGCCTTCGGAGGCCGTCTTAGGCTGGCCAGTCGTGGGGCCATCTTTGGGCGCGTCAGGGCCGCCTTGGAGGGTGAAAGCTATGAGGTGCGATCTAAGTGGTGCGATTCATTTCGGCCAGCCGGCTTGTGGCGGCGCCGATGTTGGTGACGACGGTGATGGTGATGATGTCCAATGGTGTCTATGCGTCGGTGGTAAGGGTGGTTGTGATGCTGATGATGATGGCGGCAATGGCGGCGATTGACGCTGACGATCGCGGCGGTGATGCGATGGCATTGGTGAGGTGATGAGGAAGTGCGCGCGCGCAGAAATTCAAGAGATCTGACGGACTGCCCCCGGGGTCATCTGCATGTCCCGAACATCGCGCCCTTGGCCTCTCGAAGAGTCACGCGGGGAACCCCCAAGAGCGCTCGGAGCTCTGGGCGGTGGGCCCCTGGGTGAACACTCGCAGAGCTCAAGACAGAACTCGAAGGGACCTCAGGACTCCGCCTCGTCACTCAGGGCACGGTGGCGGAGTTGACAGGAGAGGGGGGGGCGCCAATACCGGCTTGGCGGGGGTGGTATAAGAAATGGGCGATGAGACAGAATCGTGCGCAGATTGCTACACGTAAAGGCGCACGGTTAAGTCCGGGGTGGTAGAATCTATTTTTCGTTCGAAAGGAGAGTCAACGTCGTGCAAGTTTTGGGGTGCACTTCTTGTGCTTTTACAGAGTACTATCTACGTGTGCATCCAGAAGCGCCGGCCAGCGCGCATGGACCGCCCACGAGGTGCCCGCGGGCGCCCACAGGGCGAAAGCCCAGAACTCGCAGCTGGCGCACAGGACGCCCACGCTGCGCCCGCCAAGCGAAAACCCGGAGCACCTCCGGTGGCAAAGCACGGGATCCTTGTGGATCCTGATAAGCATGTCTTCAGCGTCGACTAGCGTCGGTTAGCGTCTGGGAGTCGATGAGACAGCGCCGATGTAGCATCGGCTAGCGTCGATTAGCGTCGACGTAGCGTCGATTAGCGCCGATTTAGCGTCGACTGGCGTCGATTCGCAAGAGCCGACAAGATGGTGCGCGAAGCTCTCATGAGCTGCCACCGAAGGACACCCCGCTGGCGCACGGGGCGCCCACGAAGGCACCGGGCGAAAGCCGGGAACACCCTCCTCCTCCTCCTCCTCCTCCTCCTCCTCCTCCTCCTCCTCCTCCTCCTCCTCCTCCTCCTCCTCCTCCAGCCAGCGCACGGGGCACCCACGAGGCGTTCACGGCGCCCACCACCGCTGGGGGCGCCCACGGGGGCCCACCAGTCGAAGCCTGGAGCACCCAGCCACTGTACGGGGCGCCCACGGGGCGCCCGCGGGCGCCCGCCAGGCGAGAACTCGTAACACCCATCCAGCTTTCGATTCAAGAGGCAAGAGCCCCTCAGCACAAGCGTGTTCCAGGGAATTGGCTAGAAGAGCCCAGCTTTCCCAGCTCGTCAGCCCCGCGAGGGAGGTACTGGTTCTGCTTCTATTGGCGCAAGTGTTGTTTTACCGCCGACTACGAATTGCGTATGCATCTAGGAGCGCTTGCCCCAGCGATTTAGCCAAAGCATCCGCGCGCGAGGACGCCGACGTGGGCATTCTGAAAGACATTTGGACACGCATCGATGCGGACGGCAGTGGCGCGATCTCCAGGCTGGAGCTCACTGGCTTCATCGCCGCCATGAACAAGGACAGAAGTGATACATCAGAGCAGTGGGGCGCTGTCCTCCTCTTGCTTCCCCTTGGGGAGGCACGAAGGAAATTAGAGGGGAATGAGAGGGAGGAGGATGAGGAGGAGGAGGGGGAGAAGGAGAAAGAGAAGGAGAAAGACGAGGAGAAAGACGAGGAAAAGGAGGAGAACCAGTGCAAGCCTAAGACTCATCAGCGACGTTGCCATAAACCCTCGCTCCAAGCTCCATCTTCATAGGCCCATGCAGGGATCCGTGTTCGCTAAATGACGTGTCCCTGTGGAAACAAACGTTTCAAAACCTTGAACTGCACCAGAACACCATTCCTGGGACTTCAACGCCGCGAAGCACCGCCACTGTTGCGTCCTGACGATCCTGAGCCGTGCCAGAACACCGTTCCTGGGACTTCAACACCACGAACCAACGTAATTGTTGCGCCCTGAAAGTCCGACCTCTGGCCGAAGCACCTTTGTTGGGACGTTCGCCATGAGAATCCTTGACACCGCTGTAAACTCTTAAAACGAATGTGCGCGGTGCTAAGGCGAGAGGCACAGTTTGAAACGGAACCGCCTTCCATCCGTAAAATGTTCGCAAGTTTTGTATGACGAATTTGCGCGGCCCATAGGCGAGAGCCACATTTTGAAAACGGCCCGCCCTCCATCCGTGAAACCGTTGCACCGTTTTAAGACGAATGTGCGCGGAGCCAAGACCGGAGCCACAGATTGAAAGCGACTTGTTCTCAATCCGTGAAGCTGCTGCAATGTGTTAAGACAGTTGCGCGCGGCGCTAAGGCCAGACCTACATTTTGAAAATTACACGCCCTCCATCCGCGAAGCGCTCGCAAATCTGAAGCTTCAGGATCATACATGGTGAGGAAGTCTCAGGCGAAACGCCTGGCCCGCCCTTCCGACTGGCTGCGGGGTGCGACAGGGAGGGGCCATGCACAAGGAAAACGGAGGAAGAGGATAAGGAGGAGAAGGAGGAGGACGAGGAGGACGAGGAGGACGAGGAGGCGGAGGAGGGACGAGAAGGCGGAGTAGGAGAAGGAGGATAATGAGGAGAAGGGGAGGGGAGGGAGGAAAGCGGGAGGAAAGGGGAAGGAGAGTGACGAGGAGGACAAGGAACATGAAGAGGAGAAACAGAAGAAGAAGAAAAAGGAGGATTATGATGAGGAAGAGGATGATAATTATTCGGATTGCAAAGCCGTTGAAGCCGATGGCCTGTCAGCGTAGTGCGGCGCTACAGATAACAGAATATTTGAGAAGCTAGTTCTGCACAGGCACTGAGTAAGCAAGACCAGAGACAGTACGTGCCAGGGAGAAGGTGACAATGAGACAGCAAGACAGCAGCAGGGGCAGCCCAAGTGTGGTGCTGGCGAGGTATCCCCGACAGCATAATAGAGTGTGAACCGCACTCGTGTGACATAATTCGGGGGGGGGAAAACACAGACGCAACTGATCGACGACTCCCAGGAAAAGATGGGAAAATATGAGAAGTGGGGGGGAGACGAAAACCCAGAAAAGATTGGAAAATAAAGGGGATCCTGGATTCTGTGTCTATTCGTGTGTGTGTGTGTGTGTGTGTGTGTGTGTGTGTGTGTGTGTGTGTGTGTGTGTGTGTGTGTGTGTGTGTGTGTGTGTGTGTGTGTGTGTGTGTGTGTGTGTGTGTGTGTGTGTGTGTGTGTGTGTGTGTGTGTGTGTGTGTGTGTGTGTGTGTGTGTGTG